CTAGGATGATTGGATTGGGATGTGAAATAAAATTGGAAGTGTAATATGATTTTGTCAATAACTTAGGACCCCCCCTAGTATAGGGGAGACTCTGTCGATTTTTTTTTTTAAAAAAATAATCGAAGTTAATTATGTAATTATTCATATAAATTTGTGTAGATACATAGACTAAAATCTACAGCACGTCGTTAGAAGACGGTTGCAGCTAGTTCTTCTAGTAGCGAGGAGGACGTATCCTTAGGTGCTGATTACGGCGAGGAATCTACGCCAACTTATAATGCTGCCTCTTCTAGTGCGGTTTTACAACACAGAAGCGGTATGTCTTCACAGCAAGGTCAATTCACCCGCAAGTACCAGGCACAATGGAAGGATGACCTCTCAATGTAAGTTTGTTTAGGTTTTAGTTTTTTGTTATATATATACTTATAACATAATTTATGAATAACTAATTAATATTAATACTTTTATTTAATTTCAGGTTCACAAACATTGAGGCTGCAAGGACTATAACATTGGTATTTAAATCGTCAATAGAGATTTCATTGTTTCAATGGAGCAAGGTTTCCAGACATCTTGAGTGGAAACCTAATATTGATGCATGGTTTAAGCGATTTCAGGTCAGTGTTAATTTTTAATTTCCAACTTATTTTTAATAAATGATTTTTATAATTACATATCTTGTACTATTTTTATTTTATATGAATTATTTATATACACAAAACAAATTTGAGTGGGATAGGGCGAACAACAATGTTGTGAGAAGGGTATGGGAGAATCATATGGAAACTAGGTAACATCAAAAATAATATTTATTTTTGTTTTATAATTTTATGTTTTAAATTCTAATTTGTTACTATGGAAGTAAGTTGTATGATTTTTGGTATGACACCAAAAAAAAAATCAAAAAGACAAACGAGGGATAACGGTTTTGAAGGATGAAATGAGGTGGCGGTTTAGCAGGAATTCAAACCACCATTCATCTCAGGGGAAATATAGATGACATATATTGAGCACGTGACCTCAGAGTGGTTCTCACGGCGCTACCAGTCCGGCACCGACAATCGAAACCGGCAAATTCATGGTTTGATGACCACGCACACTGGCGGATCCGTCCCATTTAGCGCACATGCAAAGCGGATGGTAAGATTAATTTTAATGAAATATATCATTAATTAATTTGTTGTTCCTTATAATATATTTAACTTTCAACCTATTTTTTCTTTATAGGCTGCGTCTCTTGGATGTGAGCCGAGTCCAATGGAGCTGTTTGTAGAGATGCATGTGCAGAGTCAAGACCACCAAAAGAGGGTGCAACAGTTCGTGGACAACCGTGCTTAGCACTTTGTGGTATATTCGTTCATTCATTTTATTTTATAAGTTATTATTTTCTTGAATTGCATTTGATGATTTTTTTACCGACGGAATTTTTAGGAGACTTATAATAGCCAGTTGAGGGAGAGATATGGAGACCATCCTTCGACCTATCCAGATTTCAATCCAGATTTGTGGATGGAGTGAGATCGTCTGGTGGACCTGATAAAAATCGGGTCTACAGGCTCTCCAACACTATGGCTGAAAACTTGTGTTCAGTTCGTAGTGTCTCAACCGTTGGAAGCTCTCCATCAATATCGAACACCTAGTATGAGGAGTTCATTGCCTTGAAACAACAATATCAACAACTCTCGATGAATTATGATGAGCTCCGTCAAATAGTCATGGAGATGAGATCAAAGACGGGTGACGATACTTGTGCAGCTCTTTTTTGGCCGTATGGTCCCGGGAACAACCAACCTCCTCCTCCTCCCCCTCCTCCTCCATTGCTATTCTAGTTTAATTTTATTTTTTAAACACATTAAATTTGTAATGAATATTATTTAACATTACTTTTATATTTTTAATGTTTAATCTAATTTTATTTGTTTATTAAGGTTTTTTACTATTAATAAATTTTTTTATATATTTTAAATACATACCGACGGAAACATCGACGGATATTGTCCGTCGGTATTTCATAGAGAGTTGCTAAACAATTACCAGCCATGCAATAATTACCGATGGATATATTCCATCAATATTTAATCACCGACGGATAATATCCGTCAGTATTTCATAGAGAGTTGGCAAACAATTATTACTGATGCCATAATTACCGACGGACAGTCCATCGGTAATTACCGTTGAAATTACAGACGGATTTATTCTGTCGGTAATGTTCCCGCGGGAAAATATTTTTTAGGCGCGCACGTATCCTTTTATAAGACTGTCGGTGGGTTTTTTTTTGTGACAGAAGTGGGAGTTACCGATGACTATTATACAGACGGATGTTTTCTGTCGGTGAGACTGTCGGTAATTATTTCACCAACAGAGTCCGTTCCTATCACCGATGGACTTAGTTTGTAAGTAAAAATGTTTAATCGTATAGTGAATTTTTGCCTATTGATAATGAGCAAATGACGTTTGAAGAGGTGCTCCGACTGAGGTAAGGGATGTTGATTGTCGACCAGTATACAGATAGCTTCCATGTATTAACTATTCGTAGCAAGGTGGTGGAAAACGAGCTACAAACCTTAGCTCGTTACTGCACGAGCTTATGTAATGAGCTGTAAAAAGAGATGTTGATTGCACAAGACCTAAATGTTAACAAAGCCTATAAAATTTTCCTTATAAGTCGAAAGGCAACTACGGCTCTCAAGCGGGAGACAAATGGCATCTACGGATCCGAGACAAGAACGAGCTCCAACCCAATTATTCCAAAAACCACCTTTGCTTACTGATCCTGGTAGAAACACCGTGGTGGGAGACCTAAGAGGAAAGGCCAAGCTTACGGGTGACGGACCACAATGCTGTAAGTGTAAAAGTTTTTAGACACTTTGTTGTAGTGTGTCCATGAGAGAAATATTTTTGGCATTTGCGTGGGAAAAAGAAATTAGAACGCTTGATGCAGTTGAGGGAGTTAAGGAAGAAAAAGATGAAGAAAGTGATGGCAAAGATGTAGAGCACTTGGGAGCAACCGACCTGTCTAGCTGTGTGATCCATAGGGTTTTGATTGGCACTAAGAAAAAGGTCCAATGTGATTCTAATTGGAGGCGCACCGACATTTTCCATACTCGTATGGAGTATGGTGGTCGCATATTGAATGTCATAATTGAAAATGGGAGTCGAATGAATGTAATTTCTAGTGATCCAGTGAAGTGTTTAGGTTTGAAAGTTGAAAAACATCGTGATCCTAATCGAGTAAGTTGGATTAAAGTTGGATTAATAAAGACAACCCTATCTTGATCAAGCATCATTTCTTAGTGAGGTTTGTGTTAGGAAAAAAAGTACTCGGATGAGGCATGGTTTTGATGTGGTTCCCATAACCGTCTGCCATTTGTTATTGGGTCGACCTTGGCTTTATGATAGAAAAGTGTTGTACGGTGGGTATGCCACTTCTTACTCCTTTAAATTTAGCAAGAAGAAGTTCGTTATAGACCCTTTGTAAATTTTTGAATTTGAAGCACAACCAAAAAACAAAAAAAAAAGAGTAGAAACTATTCCAGTGCTAACCATTCAGCAGTTCACTCAAGCTCTAAAAGAAGAAAAACTAATGTTGCTGGTAATGAACTGAGAGGCTAAACAAGATGATGGTATTATCCCTCCCCATCAAGTTTACAAAGATGCTAAAGAAATTCCACGAAATTATGCCTGATGAGATGCTGAAGTAGCTACCACCAACGCGAGAGGTGCAACATGCCATTGATCTAATCTAAGGTTCTTATCTGTTGAACCTACCCCATTATCGTATGAGCCCCATGGAAAATAAGGAGCTCCACCGACAAATTCAACAATTGCTTGACAGTGGCTTCATCCAAGAAAGTCTTAGCCTTTATGTCGTGCCAGTTCTACTTACACCTAAGAAGGATAATACATTGAGGATGAACATTGATGGCCAAGCAATTAACAAAATAATGGTGAAGTTCAGATCTCTTATCCTTTAGCCCGACAATATGCTAGATTTATTAGGTGGCACATCAATGTTTACAAAAATTGATCTTCATAACAGGTATCGTCAAATCCAAATATATCCTGAGATGAGTGGAAGATGGCATTCAAACCTAAGTTGTTATCACCTCTATCTATGCTATTAAGGTTATCGAATGTTTGAAACCCAATAAGGATCTTTTTTATTTGCATGGATCACATAATTAAAGTTAGTTTATCTTATATTAAAGTTTTGAAACTTGTCTTAACCCAAATTTCATGAATAAACTCATTAAATGTCTCTTTATTGTTTTTGGCCTTTAACCTTGTAATTGGTCTAATTCGTACCTCTAATGAATCATTTAATGATACTTGTTGATTCTCATCGAAACACGAATGAATTTTCTAAACTTGGGTTAATATTCTAAACTCACAACTTGTTAAATCCTAAACCTAGACTAAATCAAGAAGCTCAATTCCAAACCAATTTAATGTTAAAGGATGAAACTAGAAAAAAATATCAATCAATAGAATGGAGATCAAATTTGATTAGAAAAAAACTAGAGGATTAGATTACAAAAAACAAATCAATTTTAAAAATCATCTCAAATAAAACAAGTAACAATTAAAAGAATAAGAATCAAATTTAACATATAAAAAAATTAGAGGATAAAATTGAAGAAAATCAATTTTATAAATTATTCCATATAAAACAAATAGTAAAGAAAATGGGGACCAAATATAAAGAAAAAAAATTGAAGGGCTACTTTTAAAATTTAGAGGGTTATACATATAAACAAAAGAGAGAGAAAAGAAAAAAAAGATTCATCAACACCAAAACAAAGATTTGATGATCACACATATCGCCGAAGGATAGAGGGGTGTATCGCCAAGGGATGGAGGGGTACATCGCTAAGGCATTGGAACGACACCTTGA